CATTCCACCAAAGAAAACTTGCAACCATTTTTGAGCATAGCCGCACAGGGCCTTTTAGATCAGATAATATTATAGGCTAAAGGGGAAAATGCCCCCTAGCCGCTCTTGTGCCACCCCATTACAAGTAAAGGTCCCTCTTGAGTGAAAATAGAAAAAAGTGGGTAAATAACTGGATAAGAAGAGAGTAATGATATTTTGATAACAGTTAAACCTCACACTGTTTGGATGGGACAAAAAACAATTATCCCCAAAATGCATGAAATAAAGCTACAGTCTGTCAGAATATGAAATACAAATATATCCTAAGAGGAGTCCAGATGCACCCCCAACTCTATATGTCTCTAAGTCGACACTTTCCAGTAGGGCCTTTAGAAAAAGGTATGATATCATCACGTACAACAAACCTCATTCTGTTTAGATGGGACACATCAAGAATTGTCCCCCAAATTAAAATGCAAGAAATTAATGCACAGATTCCAAAATACAAATATCTTCTTGGGGAGGGACCCCCCTAAAACTACCTATTACAGGTACATCTTTTTTTTCACCCCCCCCCCCAAGACAAAAGGTCTCTAAAAAGGCCCTAGCTGTACACCCATACAGTTTTAAATTGCTTATGTACCCTCTACATGACTACATATTCCATGAAATTTATGAAAAGGTCACCTTGAACAATTCCATATATATTTTTTGCTCTGTTTGCTCTGAGGGAGCTAGACCAAGAAGACCAATTGTCCCTGATTAAGTAGGTAAATAATGTTTCTGATCGAGAACAGAACTGGGCATAAATATAAATATATTACCTTGTTGTAAATGTTGTTCATCTGACCACTCGAGATACATGGGGTGCGATAGTATATTTGGGTATTCGATGAGAACTTTCATGTTTTAATCTTTATATTAAGACTCTGTATGAAGTTGTGATGTTAGATGAGTATTAACATGAAATACGATATGTAAATTTACCAGGAAAAAGGTAAAATAAGATATGCTCGGGAATCTTTCCCCGCTATAGGACCATTTCCTCTCGAACACTTTCTCCGGTACTTCAATATATCCCATATGCGAACAAACCAATGAGACTTGAGAAGGTTATTCGAAGTAAGTAATCCCGATCGGATAAGCTATTTTCGCGCTTTTCCCGAGATTTTCTTAGTTTTTTTTTACAAACACTTGTCATCGGGAAGTCTTTTCAGCCGAATAGCACTTTAATCTAACATAAATGGATCCCTTTGTTAAAAAAAAACTTGAGGAGTGGAATCTTTCTTGTCTTGAAAATGTATTTGAAGGTAAGGTTTTTTGTTTTTTTCTTTTTTTCCGCATTTACAACCACAACTAAAACACTTCATATATTTGGAAGTCATTTACTGAATAATGAAAAGCGATGAAAAATATAAAAAATATACGTTTTTAAACAATTTCTCATTGACAAATGCTAATAATTGGTAATGTTCAAACTACGTGGTACTATTTTAACATGTGCTGTAATTCAGTCTAAGCCGTTACACAGAGTTTTTAAGGGCATTTTCCAAAACGTAAGTCACAAAACGCCACTTTGGCCCATTGGTGGCATTGGCATTTTAATACCAATTTGAACTTCAGTTTCAGCCTGATTTGGAAGGTAACATATTTTTACAATTGGATATTTTTTCAGAAAACATGATTGATCAAGAATCCCTCCTTTTACTCAATGAAGAGACAGTCAAAGAAATGGTCTCCGCTATTGGACCGCGACAAAAGCTTTTATACAAGCTTCAAGAAGAAAAGGTATAAAGCATATTTGAACTGAAATAAACGCTTAACTGAACTACTCATAGAAAACTATTTAAACCAGGCAAACAATGGGTTATATCTGTTCCATATGTAATCAATCAGTTATTGGGAAAGCGAACTCCCTTATTTGGCATATTAGAAATCGACATGCCCTCTTAACGGGTGCGACTTTCACTGGCCCGTTTACTTGTGGCCAAGATGGGTGTTTGCAGACATTTCGGTACTCAATGGCTCTCAAACGACATATCGAGAACAAACATAAAAGTGCTCTAAACTTAATCCCAGAGGTAGATGATGGTAATAGTGATGAAAATAGTGATCCAGGAGAGAATCCCCTTGACCCAACATATTTTATGAACGATGTTGATACTGCAATAAGTAAAGAAAAAATAACTGAGCTTGCGGCCACCACAATTGCCAAATTAAAGGCGTCTAGTAGCGTTGTTCAAGCAACAGTGGATCATGTAGTTCAAGAGAGTGCAGAATTATTTTCAAATGTTGTTATGTCACTGAAAACTAAAACTGAACAAGTTTTGGATAGCAAAGGTGTCGACAAAAATGATCCAGAAAGGCAGGAGCTATGTGAAACATTTAGAAGTTTTCAATATCCTTATGAGAACTTGGAAACTGCGTATCAACAACAAAAATACTTTACTGATAGTGGGTATTTTGTAAAAACCCATCGAAATACCTTTTGCTGTTGCATTTCATCCCCGTCACAATCCAGCTTCGTCACATGTGGATCAGGTTGCTAAACATCTGACCTTTCAGTACGTTCCTCTGAAGCAATTACTGAAGCATGTCTTAGAAAGTAGAGGATTTATGAGGGCAATTCAGGAGTATCAACCTAGCACTGATGGTATAATGCGGGACTTTCATGATGGTGAATTCTGCCGAGGACATTTGTTCTTTTCAAATTCTAAGAACATTGCCATTCTACTATATGTTGACGATTGCGAAATTGCTAACCCCCTAGGTTCAAGGGCTGGGATGCACAAAATTGGAGTGATTTACTGCACAATATTAAACCTGCCACCCAAATTTCGCTCCTCGTTATCAAATTGTTATTTAGTTGCGTTATACAACACAGGAGATGTAAAAACCTATGGGTTCAATTGTATATTGGAACCACTTGTTAAAGATTTGCAAGAATTAGAGAGGGATGGACTGTACATCAGCACGGAAATCTTTGAGGGAACGGTTCATGTAGGAGTTGCTCAGGTGACCGGCGACAATTTAGGCCTTAATGGTATTTGTGGCTTCGTTGAGAGTTTCATCAGCCACCATTTCTGTAGAAATTGTAAAATGCACCTAGAAGAAATGCGCCGTGCTTTAACAGAAAAAGCAGATATGCGGCGTAACCATGCGAATTATGAAGAAGATTTGGAGAGGAATAATCCAACATGTACTGGCATTAAAGCAACATGTCTTCTAAATAATCTGGAACACTTTCACGTAGCAACAAATTACACTCCAGATGTAATGCATGACTTGTTAGAGGGAGTTTGTGGGCTGGAAGTTCACCTTGTTATTGGCGATTTAATTAACTCTGGCTTTTTTGACCTGGATTTGTTTAACAGCAGAATAATGAGCTTTGATTATGCACCTAGTGATTCCAAGAACAAGCCCTCCCCGATCATGCGTAATAAGATTCAAAATCCAGACGGTGCATCAGGGCAGACTGCAGCTCAGATGTGGTGCCTCATTCGGTATCTACCTCTATTAATCGGTGACTTAGTTCCAGAAGGTAATGAGCATCTAGAGCTCATTCTTCTTCTGTTGGAGTGTATGGATTTTATTTTTAGTCATGAAATTACCACTGAGGAATCTTTATTTGTGAAGCACTTGATTAAAGATCATCACAGCCTCTTCCTTCAGTTGTACCCGAACCGTCATTTGAAACCGAAGCATCACTTCATGACTCATTACCCCAGCCAAATCCGACAACTAGGACCACTTGTCAATTTCTGGACCATGCGATTCGAGGCTAAGCACAGATTCTTCAAACGTCTAGGCCACATCGTGTGTAATTATAGGAACATCCTTAAAACACTAGCATACAGACAACAGATGTTCTTATGTTACAATCTCATGTCTGGAGGGATCGCAGACACTAACATTGAAATTGGTTCAGGGTGTTCTATGTTGGTTCTTTCTCTTGATAACGCAGAATTTTTGAGCAGAACAATTGGTGTTCATCCTCTTAGTGAAGTGTATGTTGCCAAATGGGTAACAGTGAATGGGATAAAGTACAATAAAAATGCTCTGGTCATCACTGCCAAATCAGATGACTCCTTTCCTGTGTTTCAGCAGATCATTTATATCATAAGTATGGGACCTGCTGATATTAGGCTTGTTACACTTCCTTGGAGTACTATTAAGTTTGACCGTCATACTCACACTTATGTTGTTAAGCCAACTGAAAATGGAATGTGGTCTATTACAACAGTGCAAGATTTAGTTGATCACCATACATACCATGCTTCTAAATCGTACAAAGGAGATGATTTGGGTTATGTTACCCTACGCCATAGAATACCTTGGTAGGTGCTTTAACATGTTGTTTCATGCCCTCAACTTCCTGGTTTATACCCCAACAACGTCTTCTGCAAAGTATTTCAATTAATTACAGTATGTATTTAAGAACAGTGCCTGATTATAGTTGGTGATATATTTACAAGTAAATGGCAAGGTCATTCTACCCTGTCATTTCATATCCCACTTCTCAATGATTGATCACAGTCATCACACCAAAAGAATATTGAACAGATATGACACATACAGATACAGAGCAGTGTAGAGCACTAATAAAAGTATATGATGTTTACTCTTTTGACAAAGTGTCTGTAAAGTAAATCATCTATAAGTTGTCTAAGTTATTTCCCCTTTCAATTTTAGATGCTACAAGCTCAAAGCAGAGATACTCCAAATGCATCTGATAATCTATCAGTTGAAATAGGCCCTGGATCAAAAAGTTGCACAATTAAGAATCATGTACTGGTATGGTACATTTATATGTACAATTAATTAATACTCCAACAAATAATACTCCAAACTATAAGGGCATCAAAGAAAGTTTGGACAATTTCTGGCATTTACTAGTGCATAAAGCGATTTTTTATTAAGTTAAATACAGTACTATATACTTTTATAACCATATATAATGTTAACTCTCTTTATTATCTCATTGTCATATTGTGCATTTTTATACAGCCAGCATCCTTAAATGATAATGAAGAGTTTTCCCCCAAAAAGTTCAAGGCTGAATTTGTAAGTAAAAACTGATTTTACTTTAAATGTTTTTGGTATTTCAGGGGGTAAATTTTTCAAAGATGAAAGCAAAATAAAGTTCAAAATTAAGTTAAATTAATTATTGCTGCCATATAAGTTACACTAATTGTTGCTGATTTAATATGCAATGCATATATTTGGTCATTATAATATTTCCTTGTTATTCAGAGCATAAAGACCATACTTGAAAGCTCAAGTCTTGGAGAAGAAATTTTAATGGAATTGAAAAGTGAAAAACTTTCCCGCAAAAACAGATTAAAAATGGTCCAGATTTTGGTTGCTGAGATTATAACAAAATTTGGGGACAGGTATGTCTGTTTAAATAGATTAATATAATATGTCATTCCTGTGTGTCAAAGCAATTATAAATACTTTGTTCTAGTAGACAATTAACAATGACTTCTTTCTAGACCAAAGGCAGATGTGAAAATTTCAATGGCAAAAGCTGTTGTGAATGAGTTTCCTTTCCTCAAAGATGAGGAAGGTGAAGGCTTTGTAAGTTTTTACACTAACATCAGACTATATTTAATTCGCCAATTAAGAGACGTTAATCCTTACAGACTAGCAATGAACCCTCAAAATACTGCCATATCTAATTAAATATGTGGTCTAAATGCACTTTTCTATATTCCTTTGTAGGAACTATAAACCTTTTGTCACTATAAAGCCACTACGAATAAAAGTTCATGTGATTAAACTAACCTAATTTGTCTCCATTTAGGAAGCATGGTACACCCCTGGTAGAGGAATCCATTCAGCAACTGGTTGGTTGGAGGAAAAATTGAGAAATGTTAGACGAAGAACTAACAAAGAAAAGACAACATCAATATGTTCATCAAACATATTGTCAGCGCCACATTCAAACCTGGTACAAATTGCTTCTTTGCCTGCAGGTACGTTATTCTCAAATTGCTGGTTTATTGCTTATATATACATTGACACAACATTTCCCAGTTTATTCTGTCCATCGCCATGCAGATCTATGATTTTAACAGATGTCCTGGTTAAGGCTCTACATACATTATAATTTCAATATACTGAAGAGATTTCACTTCTGTGTTCTTATATATGCAATGTAGAGTCGTAGACTTCACTGCCGGCACTTTACACTATACATTAACAAAGCCTTATATATTTTGCAGAAAGCAATATTAGCATTGATGAATATGAAGGAATGGTAGAGTGGCTGAAATATCACATTGAGCCATTGAACAAAATAAAAGACTTTTTGAAAAAAACTGCAATTAAAAGAGCTTCATGGATTCGAGAACATTCAGAACTATCAGTGTCTGACATAGTGAAAGAGCATCCCAGGTTATTCGATACAGCGGGAATGGTGAGTATTTAGTTTGGTACTGTAATAAAATATTCTCACTCGCCACTGCAGCATAGAACTGCAGTTAGCCTTTGGAAACCTTATTAATGATCAAGTACAGCAAGTTAGTTTTTCTTCAGTTCTTACATTTAAATAGACTGCTGTTTCTCGCCACTGTTGCTTTTTCTTCAGTGTTATAAAAAAAGCACACATTACAATGATACATTTTGATCTCAATAGTTTCATTGGTAATTAAACTTCCAATGTTTCCATGAAATGTTTCAAGCCATGTGCTTGGGAATTCAAGACAACTTGCACTGTAAATACAGTGTATATGGCCAATTAATCCAGATAATCCTACTTGCGAATCCTTGGTGATCTTCGAAACTAGCTATACGATATGACGCTCGATTCCATCAGTTTAACATATTTTTATTTTATTTCCTTTTAGATTGAGCAGGACTTCAGTATTGTTGTTCCTGAATCAGTGGCAGATATCTTCCTCAAATGGACTCCGTCATTTGCCGAGAAAGTTCTCAATTATGCTTCAGACCAAACCAATTGGCGACGATATCTAAGCATTGATGAGAGACAGCTTAACACTGGTTAGTACCATACATTCCAGAACTGCTGTTATGTTGTGTTCATCTTGTTCTTAATATTTTGTAGATGCAGTGGCAAAGCAGAATGCTGCCATAATGGTGCTTCCGATTATTTTACCAGCTGGACGGACGGGAAAAAAACGATGTAGCATAGACGACGCTCTTAAAGCATTTATTGATGTCAAGCCAGTAAGTATTGAAAGTTCATTACAGCTTGAGAGGGAATGCCGATGTGTCAGCACACAATATTGTTTGCATTAATTGATATCTGATTAATTCATTTATAGTACTGTACCCTCTAATCCAGTCATTTCCACCATGACAATTATTAATTTATTGTTCTTACATTTTATACTGAAACAATTAAGCCTATATGTGTAGAATATGTATCCAACATCCATGTCTATTTAGATTGGAACAAATATGCCAAAGTATTTGGAGGAAGAATCTAAACATGACCCCCATATTCTTGTAACTGGAAATTGTTGCCAACCACACCAGGTTTTTGTTGTGTCAAGTGGAAATGTATTGGAGAAAAAAAACATGCTGGAGGCTATTGATACCTGTTTCAAGTTATTTTACATTTTGGATATCAATTATCCATGGGAATGTAAAACTACATGGGAGTTTATCCAAAAAACAATATATTGTCTAGAAGACAAAGTGCCTCACAAGACAACTCCTGCTGTGATCTCAATGAGAGCTGCCTTGAAGACCAATTCTGCAGGCAATGGATCACTAGCATAAAAGATCAACATTTGATCTGGGTAACAAGCTGTATATAACATACTAAAATTAGTATATAATTGCCAATTTTAAAACTAATTTAGTTACAGGCCACCCATAATATTTTGCATACTTTGCTTGTTAGTCTTTTGTTTCTTAATTAAGTGTTGCCATAATTTCACATATGTTTTTTGAATGTTACAGAAAGTTGAACTCTAATTGCACTTGTTGCTGTTGAATTGAATCATTTGCATGAAGATATATTTATTAGTAGAAATTTATTATAGAGTTTAGTGTTCTAAAAATTTTATAGTATCTTTGCTGTAAAGGCATTGGGATGTACTAAATATTTAAAAACAGTTTGTTCACTAATTAATTAACAAAATGATTAAATTCTGATGAAAAATTAACCCGGCTATATATTTTAGGGTAAATACTAACCAGATGGAAATGGGGTTCATTTAACCATGATAGTGTAAGATTAGTAACCAAAATTCCGGGTTAGTATTAACCAGGAACACAAGTTGATCTTTTGCAACCAGGATTTCCTGGTTAAATTAACCAGACTATGCTAGGTTAAATAGTGACCCGGGAAGTAGTTAAAATTTAACCACATTTTGGTTAAATTTAACCAGAGTGTTTTTAGAGTGTAGTCCAGTACATTCACACAAACTAAAATGTTAGCAATCCCTTATGTACTTTCTTCGTTTCCCCCTAGATAGAGGTTGTTCGTTTGCAGTGCTTAGGTAAACATTAAAGTTTCTCTCCATCTCTTTTTGATAATAAATTTCTCTCCATCGCGCTCTAATAAATTTTCCAGACACTCCTCCATATCGAATTCCTTTGGTTCTTTACTCTGTCGAGGTACACATATTCCTTTCTTACTCCACTTTAACCATCTCTTGCGTTCCTCTGTGCCCATATCGTGTACTTGGTCGAGATGATTTGCTAACCTTGCTAAATTTGTACTACCACAGCTAAACACAGGACAGCTCCTACGAGTGCGACGCATATTTAGATGATTGCTCAACAAATTCCTAATAATAATTGGCTCATTTTTTTCGTAAGTCAGGTATTTTATTAGGCCCGTTTGGGCCCTATATGGCCTTATATGGCACTATTAGGCCCGATGGCCCGATTGCTGCATGACTAGGCGTCCTAACTCGGACAAGTCCGGGCTTTTCAATGCAAACTCTTGCTTACGGAAGAAAAAGTCAAACGATCTAAACAAGAAAACAGTGTAGTGCCCGGACAATATGTTTAAAATATTTGTAAAATTGTTCTACTTAATTACATTGTTACAAGCGTTAATACGTGTCTTAATTTATGCTTCAAGCATCGCGTTGTCCATAACACCAATATATATTTCGATTCGCTCTAAAAATGCACACATTTTCGCATTCGCAATACCCCCCTTTTTCCTCCCTTTGAGGAGTTTGGGCCTGAAATATCTCATTGAGCGGATGAGCATCTGCTCATGAGCATTTATGAGCATGTGCTCATAGGCCCGTTTGGGACTTATATGGCCTTATATGACCCTATTAGGCACGATGGCCTGATTGCTGACTGCATGGGCATCTTAACACCCGAATATGGACAAATATTCGATTAAACATTGGGGAATAAATGTTCCCTTAGAACATTCCTCTGCAACACTGCAAATCTATACGTCGTATACGTACACATCTTTTTATTATATGTATACGAATATAACGCCCATACGATATGTGACCTTCCACGGGAAAACGTACGTTAACGATATTTCGTTGAAACGGCAAAACGAACGGATAACGAACGGGTAGTGAACGATCTGTAATAACGTTTCAACGAACCCAGAAAACGTTTTGACGAATTCAGCTAAAAATGTGAACGTTTAAAGTCGAGAATACGAACGGATAAATAAACGTTCAATCTGAAGCCGTTTGAACGATTTATGTTTATGAACGGTTTTAACGAATTTGTCTGAACGCCTGTTGCGCGTATAATTGACGCAAGATATTATTGACTAATTTATCTAATTAAAAGAATAGGAAATATTTTCAAACAAGTAACATGTGTTGTTCCAAGTATGTGTGTACATAAATAGCTATACCTTCATTTGAATGTTTAACTAAAATTATTAGCTATACTACCTAAATCCCATTATTTTATACTTTATATACATATATACATTGGCGTTTTGCATCAAAATTCGGGTTAATCGTTAGAAAGCCTTCAGTTATTAGTATATATTATCATCGTTATGTCAAATTAATGCATCATCTGCAACTATACCCATCAAAATATTCAGCGCGTGTTCATTTGCAACATCGTTACAGGTTTTGTAAATTTTTCCACGAACAAACTCTATGTATGAGTGGTTAAAGACATATAAACAAAGACATACAGGCGATACAGCATGCATCCGTTTTATTAACACGGCTGTAAACCGACAGTAAACAAAAATTGCCGTCTCAGTTGGGTTGAGTTTCAGCTACTGGATACATACTTTATGTTAAACTAAACACAAGAGATTCCATTGTACACTTTTGTTTATACTCTTTGACACGCAAACGATTAAATTAATTAGCGCAAGGATCAAGTTGTTTACCGATGATAACCAAACATTAATACAGAATATCGCATACGCAAAGTTCGTTTGTATGCGAACCAGCGTAGTAACGTGTGCTTGCATGCTGTCAAAACTTATTTGGTATAAATACTACATTAAATATCCACACCATTTATACACATGAAATCCACATTTCAATTTCAGCAATGCATTGCGGTAATAAAATATTTAAAATATAGGCTTGGATATTTACCTAGTGCACACAATATGTTCCGTGCAGCAACACCAGTAGCCTAGCTTTAGCCGCGGTCAAGCTTGTCGCGGAATGTCGCCTATACACAGTACTGTCAGAAGCAAGTCACTAGCAACTAAGGGCATCATTACCTTAAGAATATTTTAAAATTTGACAATAATCTTTTTTGTCGATTGCATGCACCATCGCTATATTTTCTTCGCAAAGCTAAAGCTGCAATGTCGCTATTTCTGCCGCCATATTTTTTTCATATTAGTTACATATTTTGTGACCATACGATCACATATGCATGTGTTATGATTTTTAACCAGTATAACAAGTCGCTAATTAATACTTGTGATCTAACTAAATTATTGGTGGTCACTATATTCATTCCCCCCATATATTCGACCATCTACATAGTTAACTGTGTAAAAATGCCTAAGCTAACTGCATGAGCCTAACAATAGTGACCTAAAGAAATAGAACGCATAAATTAGTGGGATAATTTTCGAAATCTTCATTTCAAACGACCGCGGCAATCCGCAATCCTAAAGGTCCGAAAATCCGCCCTGCAAAGCAACTTAATACTCAACCCCGGCAGCAAGACAAAAGTGCACATTATTTTTACTAAAGCATATAGCAATAGCACACGGCCCATATAGAAACCGAGTTTTTAAATCACAAAGAGTGCAAATAATTTTTTTCTGCAAAGCTTATAGCAATGCTGCCGCCCATATAGAAACGACAATGCCAAATGCATGCACAGGGGAGTTTATACTCACCATTTTAAGAAACACCCGATCCTTAACATCTTCGAGACATCTACTTGTGACACAATTTGTGCCGCCTGCTTACAATAAAATTAACTAATCAAGATTTCCCCAGACAGATGATTAAAGCATGCATCAAAGCATCAATCCATTTTGTCTTGCGAAAACTTTTATATCATATAATTATATATATTTCAAGGTAGCATCTACCCACATTTTTTGACAAATGTCAGAAAAGTTTGCAAACAATTGTTGTTTCAATGTGAGTAAATGCATCCTATTAAATTGTAACCACCAAGCTAACAACTACTCTAACCTCAGCCAAGCCATTTTAAAGGTCTGGCAACCTTTCATGTCATGTTTATTCGGAATGATTGGATGATCGTGGCCCAACTCGATTCCACCGGCCATGGCAAGTAATCTAAAGGATTATATTGCAGTGCGCATTTATATCCGACTCCATTTTACTCGCGTTAGCATATATACATAAAATGCAATTGAGAACGTCTTGTTATATACAATTGCATGATCATCTATATGAAATCTTACTTCGAATGCGTGTCATATTTCGATATATGCATGGATCAATAGAGAGCTACAGTTTAGCCAGGCAAACACACTCAAGGAAAAAAAACTTTAAATCGAGCCAACCGTAATACGAATTCTGTTGATGATTTCATCGATAAGCCTGATTTCAATGCTGGGAGGGAAATAATAATTGCAAGCGCGCCTAATAAAGTATGCCCAGTCATGACTTGCCTTATATAATAGCTAATGTTTCGTATAGTCTCATACCTTTATATGCAGGGGTAAAACGCCTTGACTTCTCCATTTAGATGTTAATATCCAGCAAATATTTGGTTTAGTCTTCGCGAAATTACTGGTAAAGATCTTTACCCGCGCGCTCATATACGCATAAACAGTTGATAGGCGCCATTTCAAATTTGTTCATTTTGCCGCTCTAGCTGGCAGGCTTCAAGGTGCAATGACCATGCACAATTGCAATTTAATATCCGGAATGTAATTTCCTAATAAAGGAGCCCAAATCAAAATTAGTGAATATTTTCCTGTTGCCCAAGCAGCTGATATGTTGTCCAAGCAAGATAAATTCTAATGTTCGTTTTCTGATGAAGTATGGCGAAATATATATAAGCGAAATATCCGAAAGGTCAAACTTAAATGTTTGTACACGTTAGCTTGGCAACTTGCCCTTGGGCTTGGGCCAGTTGTGCGCAAGGCTGCACGCACTTGGTTAAAACATGGCGCTAAACTCAATCTCACAAAACACGGAATTTGTAGACGGCGTCTTTGATGGTTTATGGTAGTTTAATATCAACAAAACTTAAATGGTATAATATAGATCATAATTTCTGTTTTGTTATATTTTTCACACGGGCCACAGCTCTAATTATGTTGACCAGATGATATTTTGTGCATTATCAAAGCCTATAGGCTAAATTTCCCT